TGATATTAGATGTCAAGAATTATTTACCAAGATAAGTGGTCTAATGCTTGATATATCAACGATGCATCCCATTCTACGTATTTTTGAAAATGAAGTCTAATTTCAAAATAATTGACGCTAGATAGCGGGCAAATAAAAAAAAGATACAATCTAAGGTAGGTCGCGGATATACTGCATAAAAAATCTTACGAGAAAACATATCCTGAAAAATTTATATGCAATATTACTGTAAATGCGGTATAGTTTTTTGTAGGCCTACAATTGTAACGTTTTCCTATTGAAATATGTAGAAAAATAGCGTTTTAAAGCCAATTTTACGGAAAGAGTTTCTTTTTAAAAAGTCAGATAATTTTTTAAAGACGTAGACGAATTAGTCAGGAATTTCAAAATGTCAAGACGAGGTAAAATAAAAACTACTGAAATTAAAAAAAAAATCAATATGTCTTCTCGTTCGTTTTTTTTCTATTTAATTTCGAAGTTTGCTTTTATATTGCTAAAATGTTGCGTTAATGGCGTTATTTTTGACTTTATAAAACGTCATGTTAAACGTAATCGCTTTTATATTTGGAATATGCAGGATCTAAAAGGTACACCGTGATTCTATTCATCATTTCACAAAATGCAGAAACACGTCAGGAAAACCAACAATTTATAATTATTTACGCTTGTACTGTGAAATTCATATTCTGGCCACGAAGTCAGTCCTCACTTTATCAACGTTGAAAATATGCTGCAAATTTCTTCCACGTTGTTTCAACGTTGATATATCAACGATTATTCAACGTTGAAAATATGTTGCTTTTCAACATTGTTTCAACCTTAAAAAAACAGCAAATATTCAACGTTGAAAATATGTTGAATCTTCAACGTTGAAATTACAACGTTGTTTCAACGTTGAAATATCAATGAACATCAACGTTGAAAATATGTTGCAGCTTCAACGTTGTTTCAACATTGAAATAACACCAAACATTCAACGTTTAAATTATGTTGCATCTTCAACGTTGTTTCGATGTTGAAATATCGACGAACATTCAAGGTTGAAAATATTGCATCTTCAACGTTGTTTCAACGTTATAAAAAGGTTGAGGATTCAACGTTGAAACAACGTTGAACTATAGTTGCTCAACGTTGCAACTTATGTTCCACCTACTTTCAACATTGAAACAACTTTGCGTGCCTGCTAGGGAAATTGTGTACTGAAATTGATGACAAAAGCAAACCCGCGAAATACCTTATTGCTAGATGGCGCGAGAGTCTGTAAATTATGGAAAGCCAGAGGGTACAATAATGTAATTTCTTAAACACTGTAAAACTTAAGGACCTTCTATACACTAGAGGAAAATATTTTTTGGACATTGAGAAAATTATAGTGTGTAAAGGTGTAAGTATTGAACTTATCTATCACATTTTCAACATAGGGTGCCTTGCATTTACCCCCAGGAAACATGTTCAAAGACAATGAAGTACTGATGAACTGTTGTTTACTTAAGTGGACAAAATACCTGCAAATGAAGTGTTCTATCTATTCCTCTTGGCCTATTAAAGTGTTATGAATGCTTGATTTGATCACAAATTAAGTAATAAACTGTACATTCCAATTTATTTTATTCTTGATCAAAGGGCAGATCACTCTATCTGCATAAAAATACCACAAAATCAGAATTCTTTAGTGTGCAGTGTATAGAGGGCTCTTAATATGTAGATTGTTAAATGTTTACTATCGGAACTTGTTTTATTTTAGCTATCCTGTGCCAAATTTAAAAGAAAACTATTTCAAGGAACATTTTAAATCGTAGACTTGTGATTTGACGAGTATAATGTAAGGCCATCTTTAAAAAATTGTTCGCCCTCTCCCGACCCACTGGCCAAAAGTGGTCCGACTCAAAACTTTCTTTTAACCACCAGGAAAGATAATTTTTCTTTTTATTCCTGAATTGTCTCACCCTGTCAATATTCTAGGGGGAAAAATCTTCCAACCTACCTACCGACCACAGGCACTTGTTTCGTATACGGGGTACCCCCTACTTATGGTAAAAATAAGTAGGGGGTACCCCGTATACGAAACAAGTGCCTGTGCTACCGACCCATTTTTTTAAATTTTTTTTTACCATGAGTCGGGAGAGGGCAAAAAACATTATTTTAAAGATGGCCTAATAAACAAAATAATTTGCATTACACTTAATGCGCACAAGAATAAAGTTTTATAGTATCATGTAGGGTGGTGTGTGGTTCATGTCAAAATCATTTATCCAAACAAAAACTTTCAAATCAACAAAATTCAGCTGTCCCTGAGGCTGTTTGCGAAAATAAGATGATGTGTGGAGAGGGGTGGGGGATTTCATGATCGAAACTTTTTTATTTTCCGATTTAAAGAAAAGGATATTTTTTATTCAGATGGAATCTATAAACGAAAATCTAAACATCCTTGTATTCATAATAACCCTATGTGTTTGTTCTTTACAGTTATCGAACTTAGGTCTCCCAATAAGGTGTGTCTTCACTTCAGATTTGTGTTTGCCTTTTCCTTCACTGTACAAAATATAGTCCCTCCCCTACTTTCTGGAAGAGAAAAAACTCGGTAATCTGTTATTGTTAAAATAATAATCAAACACAAGTCAGCTACATTAGTCGTAGTTATAGAGAGATGCAGCGGAGATAGACGATCATTGACACCTCACCCCTCAGAATTTTCAGTTTCGTTAAATGTAGGTAATTAAGTAGCATAAAAAAATAACATAAGAACTAGAAATATGTCCATAGAACATGAATGGTCCCACCAATGGTTCATTAGTAATGCAACATAAAATTTGTGTAGTGGGTGAAGTTAAATGAAAATATCTTGAATATTTTTTTTTAAACTGAGTTTTATACACAATGAATAATAAAGTCAAAGATCATTGGGAAGGTCAAGGAAAAATTGGCTACAGTTAACAAATTCTCACCAAAGGAGATGGACGAACATAGCGTGCAGAAAGCCTACAGCTTCAGATATATAAGAACCATATTCGATTTGTGAATTCAGTATTTAAAGTAAAGTTCTCATTATTGAAATTTATGAAATTACGATAAACAAAACTTTTCTGAGGAAAATTTTCTCGACAAAATTTATTCTTTTATTTAAAAAAAATGTGGTATTCGTGGGGTTCGGGCAAAATTTATTCTTTTATTTAAAAAAAATGTGGTATTCGTGGGGTTCGAACCCTAGCAATAAATATCATGAGTATCCTTTTCTTTCGAGACTAGCACGCTAACCACTAGACTACACAAGTCCTGATGAATAGTATCATTTAAATCATGTTTGTGATATGACACTTGACTTAATGGACTTAAGTATTTCTCGAAAAGATGCGAATGATATGTCATAAAAGTATATTTTTAAGGTATAGTGGGTCTTTGCTCCATATTTTAGGAAAACAAAAAATGTATATTTTTATGCAAATTTCGAGGATTAACTTTCAAAAAAATGGAGCGAAGATCCGCTCATATCGAAAAATAGTGTTATAGCATGAGAAAATGACTCTTTTTGCCCTCTTTAGTGTGTGTACAATATTTCATAAGCAAATAATTTCAATCTTTTAGAGATTTTTGCAAATTGTAGAGATTTAACATAGAGTATATTTTAATGTTAGATGAAATATCAAGGAAAATTCTGATATAATTAAGATTTTAATTTTTCACCTTCATGTTTATCACATTATAGGCTTTTCGCTCGCCATGTTCACCCATCTTCTTATGTACTGATGCATGTGCATACGCTTAAATAAAAATATCTTAAATAGTTTCTATGAAACTGATCAAAATGGAGAAAAGTGAGGAAAATGTTACAGGAAAGTTCAAGGTCAATTTTTTTTTTTTTTTTTTTATGAAGTTCAATAACTCTTACTAGTATGTATTAGCATATGAAGTTTGATAACAATATTTTGAATTTTGAATTATTGAAGTTTACTTTGTGAGAGTTCCAGGATATGTGTCAATCAAACGCATCCCAAAATTCGTAGTTTTAATAATTTTCAGATAAAACAATTTTCTAAACACGCTTTTATTATATTTTATTTTACAGCGTGCAATGATCTTGCAACATATGTCACGATATTATACTGAAAATTTTCGAAAATATTTAACTTCAAATCTGTGTACAAGCCCCTTTAAGAGAGCTTCATAAATTGACATTATGGTATGTCGTATGTCGAAGATATCGATAATTAGTTGCTCTTTCTTCCAGAATTATTGCACGCATTAATTTAAGTAATGATATCATTAATTAAATTGTAAAGAGCAACAACAGTGAGCATTTACTGAACAAGAGGTCTGTGAGTCAATGCTCACTAGTAATGCCCCTGCTCTGATGTGAATATACCCTTCTGATGTGAATATATACAAGTTCACTTAGGTAGAGACACAAGTATAAACAGGAAGTTGACAACTGATTCATATAAAAATGAATCCCACATGGTATGCCTAAACAGTGTTCTATAAATTCAAGTATCTGTGATGAGTGAGAAAACTGCGACGAAAATTTGTTATGTATGGTACGGACAGAAGCTGACTTAGGATTCATACAAAAATGAATCCCACCATATGGCATGCCTAAACAGTGTGCTAAAATTTCAAGCAATTAGGATGAGTACTTCCTGAGAAAACCTGTGACGAAAATTTGTTATGTATGGTACAGACAGACTCATGGATAAACAGGAAGTTGATATTGGATTCGTACGAAAACGGCATGTCTAAAGAAAGAGTGTGTTAAAATTATAAGCTTCTGCGATGAGTAGTTGCTGAGAAAACTGTGACAAAAATCTGTTACGGACAGACAGACACACAAGGGTAAAATAATTTACCCCTCTCCTTCGGAGCGGGGTGTAATTACTGCTTTCTTCAATTGAATTATTGCCCACATAATTCAATTTCCAATCATTTTTTTTTCTAGAAAAAAAAATTTAAGAAAGAAAACATAACTAAAATCATGAATGTTTTCCTAATTTATTCATTAAAAAATTATATAGAGAATAAAGTATGTATAAATATAATATTCAAATAAAATCCTGCACCCTGACATTCCGCCTCACTGCATTAGAGAATCCCTCTGTGAAGTGAAACCAAATGTCTGTGTTTAACACATTCTTCTTCTCCTTCTTGTCCTCTGCTTTGGCTTCTGGTGTCTTTCTCTTGATAATACGACCAAAGAAATCTCTCTCAGCCTGAAAACAAACATTTGCTTCAAATAAATTTGTTCCTTATCTGTTTTATTGTACAAGTATCTGTGTGAAAAGACACTGTGAAAGTATCTGTGTGAAGACACATTGTGTAAGTATCCGTGTGAAAAAACATTGTGCAAGTATCTGTGTGAAAACACAAATGAAATAATCATTCATTTTCTATTTGGAGAGCACCAACAACATAGTCAGAGGGATTTAGGACAATTCAAATGTTGTATTTTCTGCTTTTGACAATGTGAAAGTAATTCTTAAATCTAAAAACATACTGTAGGTAATCAAAAAACATACTGTAGGTAATCAAAGATTACAGAGCTCACCTCAATGAATGTTATCTTTGAGTAAGGCCCAGTCATAGACTTTTAAACTAATAATTATGGAACGCCATAGCTGCCTGAAGGTCACTTTCATATTATATGAGGTGGTATAACCTTTATATGAAGTGGTGAAGTCATTATATATAGTGGTAAAATCATTATATTCAGTCATAACTTTATTTTATGCAGTGGTTTTATCATTATATACAGTGACAACGTCATTATATGTAGTGGTTAAATAATGTAATGAAGTGATAATATCGTTACATTATGCTGTAAAATCATTATATGCAGTGGTTATTTCATTATATACATTAATGAAATCTTTCTATGATGTGATAAGTTCAATATATACATTTATAAACATAGTTTGTGTGAAAGTGCAATCATTACATTATATGAAACACGCTGCATGTGCAGTGCCATTTCATTTCATTTCATTTCATTCAGTGCGACACCTTTACATGAAGTGAAAAATTTATTATGTGCAGTACTAACATCATTATATTATAAAGTGAAATTATCATATATATTTGAAAATCATGCTATGCAGTGGTAACATCTTTATATGAGGTGGTTAAAAATTACACGTCATTGTTAATTCGTTACATTAAGTGCTCAATTCTTTATATGCTTTATTCGTTTCATGTTATGCAATGGTAACTTCTTTATCATCATCTAAACTGGTCCTCTTAAAAAACGCGCGGTTTTCCAGTTTAAAGCGGGTGTTGCTAAAACGCGGAACAGAAAACGGCAAATATGATACATGTACCAGTTTAAATCCCTTGAAAAAGCGTGATTAACCATGATATCACACAACTCTGCATCCCCCACCCACCCCAACCCCGTATTGGCCAAATTGTAAAACTGGAAAACAACACAAACCAATTGCACAGAATAACATTAAGATTGCTATGATGGAGAAATCACCCATTTTCCAGAAAATGCACTCACGTAATTTATATATTACATATTTGGTAGGGAAGGGGGATGATGCATAGATGTACGTTGTCCACGCTTCAAGTGCCTGACGGTGGATAGCGCGGATCCAGGATATTTTTCGGGGGGTGTTACACCCCAATCAGAAAACAGCGTTCAATGTTTACTTTCAGTTTCCCATCAACTTCACAGGAGTCCGTGTTTTCGAGGGGGGGGGGGGGGGTCCAAGGTCATTTTTCTTTTATTTACTTTACTATGTACACATACTTTACTTTGTACACGTAGTCGCCCGCGTGGCGCAGCGGTTAGAGCGTTTGCTCTAGGGTCGTGGAGTAAGGAGTTAATCCTTACTTCGCGGGTTCGAACCCCACTGTGGGACGTGGAAACCGGTCCTTCGGATGAAACTGTATAAACTGAGGTCCCGTGTCGCAGTAGGTGCTGGCACGAAAAAGATCCCTCACTGCTCAATGGCACGCAGTGCCGAGCATACACTGTAGTAGGTCTAAATTTGCAGCCATCCACCGGAAGGTGGTGGCGTCTCCATATGAGTGAAAAATCTCGAAAGGGACGTTAAACAACAAACAAACAAAAACTATGTACACATAATAACTCCACAAATTTCAGGGGGTCCAAACCCTATCTCGAACCCCCCTCTAGATCCGCACATGCCTGTAGTTGTAATGCCAGTGATCGTTGTCTAGAACACAAATGTGTACATAATTATTCACTTCCCCAACCCCCTCCACCTGTTTTAAAACATCATTGCCTGTTTTATAATAAATGATCAAAAAAAAGAGAGTTTTATCTATGGTGAATAAGCTTTAAAAATAAGATTTGCACGAGTGATGAATGTGTCTAATTAGTATGTAATTGATTGACCACTGCATGCATACATTAAATGTAGTTCTTGGGGGGGGGGGGGGGGGGGGAGGGGAGGGGATCATGAATAAATTACATTGTTATTTTTTAATAGGATATGAACAGTTTGATAAAGAATACTGGTTACTGTCTGATTTATAAATGCGTGTAGTAAATAATTTGACATAATATTTTCCGTTCCATTCCGCTTTCCGTCCGTTTTCCAATTTGCGTTTTAGCAACACCCGCTTTAAAATGGATCTCCGCGCGTTTTTACTGTTTAAGAGGACGAGTTTAGATGATGATAAAGAAGTTATCACTGCAAAACATGAAACGACTAAAACATATAAAGAATTGACCACTTCATATAACGAATTAACAACGACATATAATTATTAACCAACTCATATAAAGATGTTACCACTGCATAGCATGGTTTTATATATATATATATATATATATATATATATATATATATATATATATATATATATATATAATAATTTTACTTTATAATATAATGATGTTAGTACTGCACATAATAAAATTTTCACTTCATGTAAAGGTGTCGCACTGAATGAAATGAACTTGGCACTGCACATGCATTGTGTTTCACACAAACTATGTTTATAAATGTATATATATTGAACTTATCACATCATAGAAAGATTTCTTTAATGTATATAATGAAATAACCACTGCATATAATGATTTTACAGCATAATGTAACGATATTATCACTTCATTACATTATTTAACCACTACATATAATGACGTTGTCACTGTATATAATGATAAAACCACTGCATAAAATAAAGTTATGACTGGATATAATGATTTTACCACTATATATAATGACTTCACCACTACTTATAAAGGTTATACCACCTCATATAATATGAAAGTGACCTTCAGGCAGCTATGGCTTTCCATAAATAATGTAGTACTGTGCATCCTTAGATGCAACATTAATATGCAATTTTGGTCTGATAGGGCTTGCAGTTACCTAGAAATGGACATGTTCTAAAAACTTTACACTACTCACTCATCCAGAAAATGTAGGTCAAATCCAGCATTTGAGAGTGTTCATCCCTTGATGCATCATCCATGCAGGTTTGGTCTAGGTAGGACTTGAAGTTACACTGGAATAAGTCTGCTCCAAAAACTTTAATCTAGTTACTTATCTGGAAAATGTAGGTCAAATCCTGCATCTGAAGCAACTCTGGTAATGTGCATCCCTTGATGCATCATCCATGCAACTTTGTTTCAGAGAGGCCTTATAGTTTCTTGGTAATGGACTTGCTCCAAAAACTTTAACCTGGTCATTTGTCTGGAATATGTAGGTCAAATCCAGCATCTGAAGCAACTCTGCTACTGTGCATCCCTTAATGCATCATGCATGCAAGTTTGGTCTAGGTAAGGCTTAGAGTTTCTTGGTAATGGACATCTCCAAAAACTTTAACTTGGTCACTCTTCTGGAAAATGTAGGTCAAATCCCACATCCACTTAGGAACTCTGGCAGTGTGCATCAATAAATGTATCTCCAATGCAAAGTTGGTTAGCATAGGGCTTATAGTCACTTTAGAATGAATCTGTTTCAAAACTCTAACTTGGTCCCTCATCCAGAAAAATGTAGGTCAAATACAGCATCTGAAGCAAAATCAGTATTGTGCATCTCTAGATGCATCATCCATGCAAGTTTGGTCAACATAGGGCTTATAGTTACTTTAGAATGAACCTGTTCCAAAAACTTTAACCTGCTCCAAAAACATTAACCTCGTCATTCTTTAGCTGAAATTGCAGCAACTGAAACCTTGACTGGTACAATGAAACATACTAGAAGCATCGTCCATGCATCACTGATTAATATAAGGCATAGAAGTACTTCAAAAGAAATCTGCTCCAAAAACTTTAACCGAGGTCAATATATAGCCCTCTCCCAAACTTCTTTGAGGTGAGCTAAAATACTAGTAATAAAAGAATAATGAATTCTATCTACTGGTCTTTTGAAGTGACAGAAATTAGAAGCAAATCCATTGCTTTCCATCCCAACTCCAACCCCTTTTCGGGGGGAAAAATCTTGCTAAGAAAGTGTGCGCTACACCACACAATAATATCCAAAATATTTTCTTCATTTCTGCAGGTGTCCACTTTTTCTGAATGTTGCACATTTTAAGGTCAAGCATCAGTGACTGAATTAAAAATGCCACCACAACTCTGGGGATTAATTCTAGAAAATTCTTACCACTGAGTATAACTGTTATACAATATATTTATGTACATTTATAATGACAGAAAACATGGAGAATAAATATGACACAATACTCACGGCTTCCTCTTGATTCATGACTGGCTTGGCTTCCAATCTCTGTAAATGGTTAGGTACAAAGTCCTTTTCAGGTTCTGCTTTTGTCTTCTTAGAACTAAAATATAAAAGAGACATATAAAAATCAGTTATAGCGAAGTTCTGGCGACCTGCGAATTTACTTCGCTTTATCTGTAATTTGTTATTTAAGGAATGAATTTAATAGCTACCCAAGTTACACTGTATAACCTGGGTTGGGGCAGTTTACGCTTTATAAACCAAGAAGCAGTTTATAAAAAAGCATAAACTGTTCCAACCCAGGTTATACCAGTATAACTTGGGTAGCTACATGTATTAAATTCATTCCTTATAATTTAATTTTCCATCATTCAATGTGCAAAAAAAAAGACAATTTTCATAACAAAAATACCTTCAAATTGTACATATTTCAAATTTTATGTCAAGTGGATTAATACATTTTTGGCTTATGTCATTGTGACGTAGGCAACACAGGTTATAAGATATGAACTAATTTTTTTATCCAATCAAATGCAAAACAATAATCTCATGAAAATAAGAGGTCCTGGAAATTTAGTGATTTACAGTATTTTAAAATTTCAGATCTTTGAAAATTCTCTATAAAAGATTAAATTTTGTTATTTTTAACTTCTAGGGGACACAAAATCAGTTCACTATAACTGTATATTTGCTATCATTATATCTGTAATTTTCTACAATGAATTGCCAAGAATTTTGCCGGGGATTGCAAAAAAACTTTGCTATAACCCTAAATTCGCTATAACTGGTTGTACTAAATGAGTTTTACTGTATAAGTACGAAGGTTGTCCCAAAATTCCATAAACTGAGTTCATATCTATTGCAGAAATCAATGTATCTTAATATAATTCTGTGGGTGTATAAAGTGTGTTTTTAGCTGATAAATAACCAAATTTTAACATAATTACTTGAAAAACATAAGGGCAGTTAGAATTTTAATGTTAATGTGTCCTATCACCCGGCGCAATCTTCGACGTCAAAAAATATGTAAACGGCACCGGTTCAAATTTTTGGGGGAAATACACTAATTATCAGAATCACATTTTCTACTTTATCATAAAGATTTATGAAATATAATTGTTATGGTGTGCTTAACATTATATTACATGCCAAAAAAAGTTTAAATTGCATGCATTTATTAATAATTCATAAAAATCTCCTGTATCTCTGGGATTTTTCGTTCGTCTTTCTGAATGGAGTTGCACTGTGTAGCTTTGACAACAATTTTTTGTCTATTTCTTTTGGCAGGTCTCTTTCCTTGCATCTTTTCCCACATATACCTTGAAAAACTGCTTATATCGTTCATACACTATGAACTTGAGTATATCTATGTGTTCCAAACATTTGTTCTTCTAATGCACCTTTGTTGAGGGTGAATTAAAGTTTCAAACTACATTTTATCATATTCCAGTGCGCTGCCTGTGTCAAAGCGGCATCATTTTTTAAAACAGTCAAATGCCTAACCAGTTAATAAACATTATAAAATTCTTATTAATGAAGGCATATGCGTTCAAATTGGAATAAAGATAGTTATTTATTTCATTTGAAAAACTATCAATTTTATCTCACGAAATTTTGACTAGAAATTTCTTTTTTGTGAGATTTTACATTTTATATACCAATATTCCTTAATTTTGGGGCAACCCTCATATGTATTAATTTCATTATGTTTTTCATACCTACTTTTTTAAAACAGTATTGGGAATATTTGATAAAGAAATATTGCAACTGTCATTTGAATTTCCCAAACAATGTTTATAAAAAGAATTTTACTTGGTCTTTTACATGTATTTCAGACTCAAACTGCTGAATTTATCTTCAAAATTCAAAATAAAAACTCATTTGAGATTGCAGCAAATAGTAATGTTTGCTTAACAAGAATGACATCTTTTAAACAAATTACCTTATACTTGGAGTCTCATTTCTTCTTAACCTTTCCAAACCAATCTGAAAATACAGAAATAACTACATAATAAAGGTTGCTGTATCAAAATTTCTAATTATATCTGAAAATATCATATTAAAAGGAATGCTTTCACACAACTTAAATGTGAGCATAAAGATCTGACTCAGAGTGAAACATATACTGAGAAAACATAAATACTTCAACACCAAATTGTCTATTTTTCTCTCAACACTTTGACTGAACATGCCTCTCTTGAAATCAACTGTTTGGCAGCATATGTCAGCTGTTTATGTTGCTTCATCCCTTGAAATCTGGCAACTTCTTCCATATTGCTAGAAAATAGTGGTACAATTATTTCTATAATTAAACCAGAAGTCTCTGATGAGACTGTAGCTCTACTGGTTTTTACTTATCAAAAGTAGAGAAAATAACACTTGGACTTGAAACTATGGCAACAGCAATAAATAAAATAATGATCCTTGGTTTGGTCTCTTTCTGAGTCAAGTTTAATTGCAAATGAACAAAAACTGTAGTAGAAGTAACATTTTAAAAGAATTTCATAGAGTTCTCTATTTTTAGTAACAATGGCAACACTTCAATAAAATCAAAAACCGATTTACAGAATAATGTATCTTAGTGTAGTCTACTTGTGTACCAAGTTTATATATTGAAATTGAACTAAAACTGTAAGAGGAGAAGCGTTTTGAAAGAATTTTTATTTTTAGTAACCATGGCAACATCATTCATTGAAATCAAAAACCAAGAAAAAGAATTATGTATCTTAGTGTAGCCTACTTGTGTACCAAGTTATATTGTAATCGGATTAAAACTGTATGAGGGGTACCGTTTTGAAAGAATTTCACAGAAATTTATAATATTAGTAACCATGGCAACACCGTTCATTGAAATAAAAAACCGATAAGCAGAATTATGTATCTTAGTGTTGTCTATTTGTGTTAAATTGTGTACCAAGTTATATTGAAATCTGAAAAAAACTGTAGGAGGAGTAAGGTTTTAAAAATTGTTTACAGACAGGTGGACAACAGACACCTTACTATGGCATAAGCTCTAGTACTGAGAAGAGCTAAAAAGTAAATTGGAAAATATCAATTTATCTGCATCCTGATTTCTTATTGAATATAATCTTCAACTGCATTTTCAACAGTATCAAACCAAAATTCACATACAAGTTATGTAGATTTTTTAACAGGATGTTTCGAATTGTTGCCAGCTATTTCTCAGAAAAAAGGGTCTTGCCTAAAGCACTCTCCTAATAATAAAACAATTTTTTATTATTTACTTACAATGCTTTTACAAGGGCATCAAGGTTTCCAAACAAAGACTACAAGTTATATATCTCATCATAAAGTGCCCATCTCCAACAAGTACTTACACATAAAGACTAGCTCAAATCAAATTTACAAAGCATTAGCTAAAACTCGCAAAAGCAACCTAGAGTCTATTGTGTAACAGATTTCACACCATGGAAATAAATGTAAGGTTTATGTGTTACATTACTTCACAGCTGTTCTTATTGCTAATCAAAGCTGTAATCTATTTTATGTCAGATCAGGGATATGCTAGGAGTGTAAAAGATTACTTTGTTCCCTTAAGATTTTCCCTGTAGATCAAAATGATTCAGAACTCAAATTTTATTGCAGATAAAATTTATTTTATAAATTATTCAGTTTAAGAGTTTATATTTATCCTAAGAAGTGATTTTAATGCAGTTAGGATTAAAAAACCACATTTACAAGAAAGAGAAGAATGAAATCCTGTTCATCAAACATTCATGTACGAACACCATGTATACAGATTAACTAGATTTGGAAATCTGCACTATAATAATCACATACTAGTACGCTGCTTAAGAAAGCAAAACCTGGGTGTTGCAAATTTTGTTTCATTCTTCTATAAATCCTGACTAAAAAACATTCTGTCGCAAAATATGTGTTTTCCTCCATCCTGAATCTAAGTTCAATCATCTCTGTTTTGAAATCCAAATATAATCAGAGTACATAGGAGTCAGTTCCTTGGTTATAGAAAACCTACATCATCAAAAGAACTTTTCTTTCAACTAGGAAAGATTGGAACACCCCCCACCCACTTTCTCTCTTAATATAATGCAAACCCTGGTATGTAACTACATTTAATTTCTACGTGATCTTCACTATGAATAACATAGGTAATCAGAGATTACAGAGCTCACCTCAACGAATGTTGTCTTTAAGTAAGGCAAAGTCCCACACTAAACTAATAATCTAGGAGTGTGCATCCCTAGATGCAACATTTATGCAATTTTGGTCTGATAGGGCTTGCAGTTACTTGGGAGTGGACTTATCTGAAAACTTAAAACTAGTCACTCATTCAGAAAATGTAAGTCAAATCCAGCATCCGAAGTTTTGAGATTGTTCGTCCCTTGATGCATCATCCATGCAAGTTTGGTTCAGATAGGCCTTATAGTTACTTGGAAATGAGATCTGCTCCAAAAACTTTAATCTGGTCACTCATCCGGAAAATATTGGTCAGATCCAGCATCTGAAGCAAGTCCAGTTGTGTGAATCCTAAGATGTATCATCCATGCAAGTTTGGTCAATATAGGGTTTATAGTTACTTGGAAATGACATCTGCTCCAAAAACTTTAACCTGGTCACTCATCCGGAAAATATAGGTCAGATTCAGCATCTGAAGCAAGTTCAGTAGTGTGCATCCTTAAATGTATCATCCATGCAAGTTTGGTCAATATAGGGCTTTTAGTTACTTGGAAATGGGATCTGCTCCAAAAACTTTAACCTGGTCACTCATCCAGAAAATATAGGTCAGATCCAGCATCCGAAGCAAGTCCAGTAGTGTGCATCCTTAAATGTATCATCCATGCAAGTTTGGTCAATATAGGGCTTTTAGTTACTTGGAAATGAGATCTGCTCCAAAAACTTTAACCTGGTCACTCATCCGGAAGATATAGGTCAGATCCAGCATCTGAAGCAAGTCAAGTAGTGTGCATCCTTAGATGTATCATCCATGCAAGTTTGGTCAATATAGGGCTTATAGTTACTTGGAAATGAGATCTACTCCAAAAACCTTAACCTAGTCACTCATCCGGAAAATGTAGGTCAGATCCAGCATCCGAAGCAAGTTCAGTAGTGTGCATCCTTAAATGTATCATCCATGCAAGTTTGGTCAATTTAGGGCTTATAGTTACATGGAAATGAGACCTGCTCCAAAAACTTTAACCTGCTCCAAAAACTTTAACCTGCTCCAAAAACATTAACCTGGTCATTCTTTAGCTGAAATTGTAGCATCTGAAACCTTGACTGGTACAATGAAACACACTAGAAGCATCCTCCATGCATCTCTGACTAATATAGGCCATAGAAGTACTTGAAAAGAAAACTGCTCCAAAAACCTTAACCTGGGACGCCGACACCGACGCCGACGCCGAGGGTATTACATAAGCTCCCCCAACTTCGTTGAGGTGAGCTAAAAATCAAAGGTGGTTGAGTATATGTACCATATTCTTACTCTTAATTGATTTGGCCACATCCAAAAACACATTACATCAGAGTTCTGGGTATGAGTGAATTGATCAATAGCTTGCTTCCAATAAAGTACAAGTTATTCAAAAGAGTCCTTAGAAAACTGACTCAAAGAATAATATTTTTTTACGTACGGGTCAAGGACATAGGTATACTGGCCCTCGGGAGTTTTCTCCTGATTGTAAGTCATGTTGTAGGCTATCATGATTCTGATCAATTCTGCCAAATCTTGCTTTTCCTTCACACTGTATAACTGAGTATTCACCTGTAAAGGAAAGAAAAATTGTCATGTTTTCCTTAATATCTACATGCATCAAGTAGTGATAGAAAAACCACTAGTACAAATGCCCTAATATTGACATTTATTAATATCACCAGATTTATAAAGGGACTTTTGAAAAGTAGCATTTATACAAAACCTCCATATAATGTGTGCTTTTTAATATGTAACAGGTATAAAACACAATGATATGACAGTAAAACTGACTGTAAAATTCTAAGGCTTAAACTCTAAGATAATAAATTCTGTAAGACTTGAACATAGTGAGTTTAAAAGAAACAGAAAAAAAATCTGGAAAACAGAGTAGATACCACATTCAAGTATTTACAGTAAAACACATTTATCATGAATCAATAGGACATCTAAAATTGTTTCTTAATATATACACAAGTCTATATATCAATTCATTATTTCTAGTACTGAGTGATACAAGAAGCCCAAGGGCCTTAATGGTCATCTGAGTACAACACAACCCTGTAAAGAATTCACAGAATGGCAATTTATTAAGTACTGGTATATAATAAAATAAACTGATAGATTAAGATATGCTGCCCAAAAATGAGAGAAATAGGATGATCAGGGATCAACAAAATAATAAGTCTGGTACTCAATATGAAAAAGAGCCACCTTTGCTCATTAATACCATGCACTAGTCTTAGTTTGTTCACTAAATACCCAGGAGCAAAGAAGAATATTTTCAAAAAATAATGCATTTTCACCATGTAATCAATTAAACCCTGTCCTAATATAAGAACCCCTCACAAAGGGGCCATGAATTTCACAATTTTGGAATAGGCACCCTTGCTCACCAAAGCTATATGCTAAGCTTGACTGCTCAATTCCCAGGAGCAGATAAGACTATTTTTAAAGAATTACTGCATTTTCACTCCAATCAATAGAGTCATGCCCTACATAAGAAGTAAGAACCCTTACCCAAAGAATTTATGCATTTTCACTAATGATCAATACAGTCCCACCCTAACACCTAAATTTCTGACCCTAGGGCAATCATTTTCACAACTGTGGAAGAAGCACCCTTGCTCGTCATAACCATGGACTTAGTCTGCTAAATATATAGGGGAGAGAAATTTTTTTAAGAATTAATGCATTTTTCTATATGATCAATAGAGCCCATCCTAACACCAGAACTCCTGAACCAGGGACCATGAATTTCATAATTTTGGTAGGGGACATATTGCTTATTATAGTTATGCTAACAATTTAACTGCTTGATGTTCAGGAGTAAAGTAGAAGATGTTTAAAGATTGCATTAATTTTGATGGTTTTGGCCCAACCCCTCAGATCCCACAGGGGCAGAGACCATGGAATTCATAATTTTAGTTCTCCTTTACTCATAGATGTTAGATACCAAAAGTGGTTAGAATTAATTGAGCCATTTAGTGAAGAAGCTGAAAATTTCAAAAGTTTATGACCGGCACAAGACACACTACTTTGGATAGAAAACAGGCAGCACTTAGTCACCTGACAGACTCTGATGACCTAAAAATAAACAATTTTTATCTTGATCTTGGATGATTTCAAAACATATAGGTGTCTACCCTGCCCCATACAAATAGTCTTGAGCTATAAGTTACAGAATGTCCAAGTTTGCACTGTGACCACAAGAGTCATTACAATATTCTCAACCTTTGACCTTGACCTAAATGTATGACCAAGTGAGCACAAAATCAATAAGTGTCTTCATCTAATCATTCTCCATCTTTGTAGCTAAACAAGTTACTGCAAGACATACATGTAAATGTACAAACTAAGGTAAAAAAAAAATATTTGGCTTTTGACAGTGTTTTTTATCTACCCATTGGGAATGATGCCAGTACTGATTCAATTGGGAAAAACAGTGTCAAAATAGAACTCAGGGGAATTTTCTGTCATGTCAACAAATGAAATTTATTTTGAATTTCTTCTAACCTCATTACCTATCCATCCATATTTTAAAGAATAAACGACAAGTATTCATTGCATATTTAAGTCCCTTGTCCTCACTTTTTCATGCTTTCCAGTTGTCAGTTATGTAAGACACTGGGCTGTCTCCAACACGTGTCCCGCCATATTAAAACTGATCTCTACTTTAAATTTAAGAGAAAGTGAAACATTTAGTCAATTCGTACAATGTTTCAATTATGATGAAAAGAATTATGATGTCATCATAGTTTGTTCCTTGGCAGTTGAATTGGGAATTTTTTAAAATAGGAAAAAATTAATGTTTTAAGGGAAAAAACCCACGTTGAACCAACTGACTCCCAAAAAAGGTACTAGTTATCACATCAAAGTGTTAACAGAGGGACTGACAGACATGGTGATTACTGTAAGGCACCAACCTCTTGATCCGAGGCCCTAATTACACAAACTGGCAACTCTGTTTCTTATAGGGCTGAGATGATACACTTTCTTCTACAGTAAAACACACTTATAACGAAGTGCCAGGGATGGACAATTTTACTTCCTTATAAATATAATTTGTTATATCTGTTAAGTTCACAGTATGTTTTTATGCCACGGGGAATGGAAATCACTTCGCTGTAAGCGTCAATTCATTTTAAGCATGTTCTCCATAATCCTATATATGTTTTACTGTACAGTGGCGCAGCGGTAATCCAGACGCCAGTAATCCGGACGCTTCACCTTCCGGACGATATTTTTTGGGAACCGATTTTTTCCACGTTACTCTGTCTCATTAATCCGGAAATTCGCGTTCCGGACGGTCAATTTCTACTACAAAACGCAATCTTTCATTGAAAAACGACTCGTTTATTCAGACGGTAATTTTTCGAGGAACGACTTTTCACACCTTTCTTGCAGTAGTGATAATTACTGTAAAAACATTGTCCATGGAGTCAGTTTGAAGGCGATTACCTGTGACCTCTAAACAATAGCGTCTATAATTAGCATGTGTTTACCTCAGCTAAAACACACGTCTTTTATATTATAAAGCCCGAAGAATTTAGCTTATACTGTGCATTAATTAAACTGCTAACGGTATATAAATTTATGAGAATTTTTGGAGAGTTGTAAATAAAATTTTTACTGAATAATAAATCACGAGATTTCGTTGTGGTATCGAGTTAAGTTTAAGTTTATCAAAATACGATCGTACATTATTTGAAACATTTTTTATTCTTTTCATAAGACAATTTATTATGATGCATAATTCAAGAAAATATATTTCTATTAATGCACTATTAATGCACTCAGAAATACGTAACTGGCGTTAGTTATAAATGCCGATCACGTCTTTTCAAGATATATAACTTAGAGTTTATAGAAAAAGTATTGATAATCCTGAATATGGCTTGTGTTTACGTTGAATGTTTGCAATACGTACACTGATTACAGTATTTAGTTACTTATCCCTATGTAGTGAATATACGCGGTAAGTCATTTGAACAATCTCAGTGGTGATTGAACAGTTCTACTTAATATGAGCTTGAATAAATATTTTAAAAAAGTGCCGAAATAAAACAGTAGCAGATCTAAATTTGGTCAGCCCATGTAACTACACGTTAAATAGAAGGCGAGTAAAGTTTCCTGTGTTAGAAAAGGAAGTTTTAACATAAAACTGCCTATCCATTTTTCATCGTGTAAATTACATTTTAATTTTTTTCTTTTTTAAATATTTATTATTTCTTTTAAAACTATAAAAATGAAATCAATAAGTCAAGGTAAAATAAAGGTGTTTTCTTTGCCTTCACATTTGATACCACTATGTTCATATGTACATGCTTTAAGAGGGTATGTCTTTTAAGAAGTGATTCACTTATCTGGACGATTCATTTATCTGGACGATTTCGTTGGGGACGGAGGTGTCCGGATTTACGAGGCGCCACTGTAAATCGATATGGATTGTATGTGCCATGATACGATATGTATCGCAATATTTTTAATTGGTTTTAATAGGTTTATTTTTTCACATAAACAATATATTTCTACACAAATAAGAATAATTTATTTATACTAGCTGTATAACAGTTGTAAAAACAACATTGTCTAAAAAAAATGGTATTATTTCATATTCAAATTTAAAATATTGATTTTGTATTTTAAACCCAAACTTTAAGTTAAGTAAAGAATTAATCATTCTGAAACTCTATTTTCCATATAGATATTTCTATATATGTATAGATATGTGTATCATCCTCACACAGAATCGATATTATTGATATTTTGATATATCGTCCCAGCCCTAGTTTCTTATGTTATATCCATAAACATAATCATTTGACTCACAGGCCTGAGATTTGGTTGTATGATTTCCAGTAGGGGAGGTAGGACTTCCTGTACCACATCTGTCTCACTGACAAACATACGGACAGCTGGAACCATGTCTGACATCAGCGACGTCACTAAATTAGAGCTCTTCTGTTTCTGGGTTAAAGCCTACAACAAGAAAATAAATTTTTACTACCAGCACAGGAATTATATTCACTTCCGAAAAGGAAGTACACTCTTTCTATTAAAGAAAAGTCCATTCATTGGTTGATGTTTCGAGTGAGTCTAAAATTCAAAGTATTGAAAATTTCACAGGAGTCACTCTGTATACATGTACTGAATTGATTAACTTTGATTCTGCATTAAGATTAGAAAGACTCACCTCTTGGTCGGCATGTGGATACTGAATCCTCTGGGGTTGGTTAGAGGCGAACAAGAGGTGGAAGGTTACCGTTACATATGGTATATAAGGCATGATACTGTAATTCTGTGTCTGAGAGATCTGGCAGTTCACCAGGTCTGTGAAGCACAGCCAATCATTGGCTACCACCAGCTGCAAGGAGAAATGGTGGAAAAACAATTTAACAGGTCATAGAGAAAGGGTTATGAATGGTTGCCACAAGGACTCAAACATTTACATTACATTACTACCATTTAAATTGATCATTTTAAGTCTCATATACAGATGTGTATGTGTGTAAAAAGTACTATTGTATGCATCAACCTACTCCTTCCATCTTGGGATCTTTGAATTTACACTCCAGGTAATTTTCAAACATCCCTTGGATAACTTTTGAGTATTCTCCAGTGCACTGTGCAGAATGTAGAATGTTCTTAAACCTGTGAAAGAATAATTTTGACATTATAAGGAATTTTTACCAAGCTATCATGTGTACTTTTGGCATCACACAAATATACATGTATGTACTAGCAACCATTTTTTTCTTTCATTTTTGAAAAGTTGTAATCATTTTCTGAGAAATAATTGGGAACAGTAATAGTTTTAAATATCAAACATTTAATGCAAGCCATACTACAGAATAGACAATAACCACATGAACAAATGGACTTTCTCCTAAACTCTATAAAGGTTCTGAATAAATGCTCTTCAGCACATAGCATGTTACAAAAACGTTCCAGAAAGACCATATATCAGTGCATGGCAAATAATGTAATCCACTACAACATGTGTGAGGAAATGATCAACAGTAATAGGCTGTCAATGACAAAAATATAGAAACTTACCTTGATTCCAGTGACAAGTTATCATTCTTTTTCCAGTCTTTTCCTTGAATATCATGTAAACTTATAAACTTATTCCTGAAAAAAAAAGAATCAGAACATACAGACTTTATACACGGGATATATACATAATTATTTTCATAAACATGGATATGAAGTATGGAAGTAAATAGCATTGCTTGAGCTTTATCAATTACCTTTTAGGTCTTGGCATTGAGAAAACCTCATACCACATAGAAAACAAGCTTTTATTAGAGTCTTTCTGACCAACATTCATAGTCTGAACAGTTCTCATAGACAACTCTTTCTTCTGTTTAAAACAGAACTGAAAAGGAATATCAGTAAACCATCCATCATTAAACAATTTTTAATGTACTACCTGTATATACAGTCAGATCAAATTTTACTACGAATGCTGTTTGCTAAGTTTTGTTAGAAATTGGTCCCTTTTCTATGGACAAAAAAGTTAAAAATGCATAAGTACATGTAAACAGACGGCTTAACAACAAAAAACTTCAATTGGAAAAGTACATTTGAGCTTTGGCACCAGAGAGCTAAAAGGCTTTGTACACAGGAAGATTCTACAGATAATTAATAGGTGGATGGAAAATACATGTACTTGAAAGCTCAACTCTGAAATATTTCCTTTAAAAATAAAATTCTTAAGATTCACAAGGATAAAGGGACATAACTCACCTGTAAAGTGTTGATACATGATCTAATGTCATTCTCTGTCTTGTCACAAAGTGCTAGCAATGTGTTCAAGTCTGTCTTCAAACTTTGGGCTTTTGCAACCTAAAATTAGTTCAATAGCCCAGATGCTTAAATATGTTGTGGTGTCATTAGAAAGAAATGACAAATATCTTCTTTACTTTTAATTTGCATATTTCCAAAAATATAACAATAGGTTTTTAGTATATATAGTCTACATTCTGTCTGAAATTCTAAATCCTTCTCAAATTATGATGGCTACATGTCCAACAGAAACATACATGAAACCTGTATACCATGTAACAAAATGAATAAGATGCATACGTTATAAACATCCCAGAATCAGGCTGGCAATGGTCACAGTGCAAGAATAGATATTCTAAATTTACCTCTGACAATCTGCTTGCCAGTCTAGCTGGTTCTGTCTGGGGGAAATTAATCACTAGGGCATTCATTCTTAGCTGTCTCAAAGCTGGAACATACCTGGCGGAAGGATATACTTCATGCATAAAAACAGAGAACAGAACAGTGAATAAACCAACGATTATTTAAGAATGGAATGTAAGTAATTTATCTCCAATAGTATTTACTGATCTCTTATTCTATTTGGAACTCACTGGTCATTGCATATACAAATAATGGGTCTTAGAAGTATTCCTTCATCTTTTTTCTTCTTTTTTGAGCCTGGTTCATCAGATCTTTTAACAAAATTTAAAAGTATGTTGATGGCTGCCTGTGAGAAATGAAAACAAGGATAAATTAATGAGTAAAAGTTCTTGGTATTACCTGAGTGTATATCACAAGGCACTTTACTTTTGAGCTGCATTATACACTAAATGTACATATATGTTCTTTTTCAAATTAAAAGGGTTGTATTCAATGCTCCAGAGGCCATAGGTATCTCTAGTTAATCAAAAGAGCAATAATATTATTTTTAATGTACACATCATAAGGGCATCATTCATATCATTATTATTTTGAATATTAACTTGATAATTTTTATTCCTGTATTTTCGAGAATAAAAAAGTTGCTCTCATCTTCATATCTCTTACTTGTGGGGCTCCATCAATTTCATCAATCACAAGACAATTGGGTCTGGGGTCTGATTCCAGCACCGACTTCATTTGTGTGGCAGCCTCCAGTTTGGTCTTAAAGACTTCAGCACTCCTGTCATCGCTATCATCAGAAAGATACATGTACAGTTATATATAAGTAGCTTTAACGCTAAAATTTGTCCAGAATAAATACAAGCTTAGTTCCAAATGCACTATTTTATGATTACACTAATCAACAAGGAAGATTACGCTAAAGAGCTGGGTACGTTAAGACCGATTTACGGCCCTGTAAAATCGGCAAAAATTAAATGCACGATTACTTTCTATCAATTGTATCAATTAACTGTTAAGGTTTCCCTGTGTGTGAAATAGGAATAATTTTTTCTCAACTCATGTGCCCTTTCATTTATATAACGTTCAAAACCGGTCTAATATTCCGGAATTCCCCTATTTTGGACGTTTTCCTCCTCTTCAAGTCTATATTTCGATATGGCCGCATCCGAGTATGTTTGCGAAACTTTGCAGAAAGAACAAATACACTACGATTTTTAATATTAAAGAGAAAAAATAACCTTACAAAAGTGCGGCCACATCCGTTTTTACAAAAAATTGAAGTAAAACATGCTGCATTTTTGGATAGACGTCACCTTTTCTACACAATAAAATCTCTATTTTTAAAGAAATTAATTGTTTAATTCTATATCTGAAGGCTTCATTATTTTTTAATTGTCTTTTAAATTCAATTCTGCATTTGAAAAAAATTAATTTAATACAATTATTTATGCAAATGAAAACCATATGAACCTTTCTCAGTGAAATTTACTATGGGACATTACATGTAAATTAGTGACGCAATGCATTGAAAAAATGATGTCACAAAGAGCAACCATGTTGAAAATATGTACTTGAAACAATTTCTTCAGTCTTCGCAACTATGATAAATATTCAATCAATATTTACAGCGTGAAAAAGTAATTTAACGACATAAGTTGGGATGGTTCAGACAATCAATTTACGTTTAATCCTACATGTACAATGTACCTCCAATGAAAACGCGCGTCTCTTTCATAGTGGACATTGACTATACTTCAAGAAAAGATTATTTTAAAAATTTTTATTGAAAATCATCAGCTTTTTAAGTACGTTTTATTCGTTTTCAATTTATATATGACTAGGATTCATGAATGTCAGAAGACAATAGCTAACGTTTTCTTTTTTTTTTTGTTTTTTTTTTTGGGGGGGGGGGGGGGGGAGATTGGAAGCTTGACTTACATGTATAGCAGTCACCATTTGAACATTTCTATTTAAAACTTGTTATCTTTGTCACTGTATTGTTGCAGATTTTTATTTGACAAAATTGATTATGTCAGAAAGGATTCTAGTGTTTTATCGCATAATCAGGAAGTGTTTTATATATGACAAAATACTTCTAAATCTGCCACTGCCGGCCTACATTTACTTATTGAAGGTCAGCAGCTGGGAATGGAAAAGTTCTTACATGTATTTACACTTATTAATTATATATACATTTATCATGCTGATCGGAATATTGACATCAGTGTTTTCAAGTAAAATTGGGTTTAATTTATAATTTACAAGGAATTTTAGATATGTTGACCAAGTTTATAAGGCTTGAAAAACGTATACAGTGGTGTACGCTTTCGGTATTTTCTATGAAAATTTAAGTGAAACATGATACAATCAACCTTTTTTATTGTCTATAAATAAAGATTTTCTGTTCCCATGCAGTTCTGTAAAAAATACAAACACGATCTTGCATTACTTGTGGACAAGACACCCCCTTTCCGCTCCATAATCGATGGTTAACCTCATTTTTTTTCAGAAATTGTTTTCCTAATACATTTTAAGGCATTCCAAGTCTTGAAATGAAAAAAAAAGAAGAAAAAAAGATTACTCTATAGATATTTATCTGTATAAAAAACGAATGTACATATTAACCACATGTACACTATTGTTAATCTTGAAGTAAGCGAGTATTTTTAAAAGGATTTTATCCAGATTATCCATAAAATAATAGTAATATATTTCATAGGAAATATGTTCAGTATTCCAATAGATGTTCATCGGGGCTGGAGGAGCGTCCTGTCCAACATCATCTCTGTGAAAACGGCGGTGCACATTATCGCTAAATTTTAAAGATTCAACGTCCGTCTGTGATGATAATCCGTTCCAGAAAAAAAACAAATTAAAAGTATTTTATCGTTACTACAAGGACAAATGCACAAGAAAATGCGTTAATGTATCCAAAGGAAGTGATAAAATTATCATTGTCACCGAAATAATAATTTATCAAATACATGTATCCTACCTACGGCTGTGTAACATGTAAACATAGGGAGGAGTTCTAAAGAAAATCTTTATCTATTTTAATGCAGTTTTTGTCTTAGTAGATGACGTGATGTATATTCTTGCAATTCATGTCAGCAGTTTGTTAGGTATATTTTTAAAGATTTTTTTTTATCAGACACTTACATGAAAAAGAAACATAATCAAGCTAGTGATATAATCCGGGAATGGCAAGGATAACTCTATAAAGAAGCACCGTGACGTGTTTTGCGTATTGTTCCCACAAGTAACAAAATTACATATGATTTCGTATAATTTGATAACTGAACTAGAAATAAAATCTCTATGTATCTTATAAAAAGGGACGTGAAAGTGAATTTTGATTCTTCTATGTGAGTGTTCTGTTATTCTGCATTTCAATTACTTGTATTTTGTCTCATGTAAATAGAAAGTGGGGGGGGGGGGTCTTACTGATAATCAAATTATACATGTACTGTAATGAGTACCAATAAAAAATTATATCAAGAATTTGATTTAAAACCAAATACATCCCTTTCCAATTTCCTTTGGCTCCCCACTGGACTGTTGATTGATCTTTTACTGATCGATATCAATGCAAGTGTCTGCCGTTTCATGCTGCATTGCTTTGAAGACGACATGCGCATATTTTCATAGCTGACGCGGATAAACTCTATATGCAAATCATACATATAATATTATATCCTTATTTTTATAGCATTTAGTTTTAGGGAATTGTGCCCGTTAGAGTGTACTACAGGCTTCTGAATCCCTTCCGAGAATTCGTGTGCATTTCCTGTCGAATTCACTACGCAGATTTAGGCATATAATTTTCGATTTTGTGAATCAAGTAATGAGTATGTACATGCAAAGTAATGTGTTTGTCTCTAAAATTAAATTATTAGCATTGGCTATATAAAATATTTTGTTCATCGAAAAATTGATCTAAACAAATCGCACACCCTTTTTTAAGCCTTCGGAGATTCACGGTTTTTATTTGAAGCAAAATTTTTCAAGGTCTGTAACGCAAGTTATGATAAGGCCATTCCAAGTTTTTTTTATGTGCAGTGTACGCGGACGAATTGGTTTTGAGGTTATGAAATTAAAAACAAACACAAATTAAAATTGATAAAAACAAAGCTTTGAAACGCAAACACAAAGTTAACTCAAATTAAAATCAGCAAATACAAATCTCTGAAATGCATTTTACTCTTTTGGGATTGACATCTCTCTTTTTTAAATGGTGTATTATTTTTTTTTATTTCAATAAACTAGTAGTTTAACTAAGTTTTATGGCGAGGAGAGGTCTCAAATGATAATAAGAAATTCTATAACTGTTCTGAAAATGCTGCGTTTTTCCCCTTTTGGTTTGTGTGTTTTCTCGGATAGGAAGATGGTTAGGATGGACGCTAAACAAAGAAAAAACTTGGAATGGCCTCATCAATCAGGACTCTTATAACCGGTCTCCTCTTGTGGTTTTAACATAGAAAGTGATTGTGTGTAAGTATATTGGGGATTGTTCCTGGTTAGGGTATTTTACATGAACCGTGCAATAAAGCGGATCCACTGGAATGAATAAATATAAATAACGATCTATAAAAGAAATCCTAACATCAGAGAAAAAAATTTTTAATGCAGTTTAAGACAACTCGTAACTCTGTAATAGTGAGTAATTTATCAAAAAAAAAAAAGAAAGAAAGAAAAAGAAAATACGAAATTAATAGCGCTGCCATTTGTTGGAATGGAAAAGGGGAGTGATGTTGATGGCTTTTTCATTGCCAAAAATCCAATTTTGACAACTTTATATTGGACGTTCCAATTTTCTTTTTAATACTGATTCATGTATCTTTAAAAATTTTAATGTAACTTCATAGACAATGCAGAAAATGATTGAAGAAATCATTAAGACATTTTTACATTAAAAAAATGATAAATTTGATACGAGCACAATTTTAAAAGAAGTACTACTTTGCCTTGTCTCGTCTGTATGGATGAATCAAGCTTCATTACTTGTCTGATGAAATCGTTTGTAATAAAATTATATTTCCCTTAAATTATTTTACTCCTTCCAGCTATCAAAGATACATTACGATGAATTGAAATAAAAGTTCAAAATTGTTTTCTGGAACATAAGGCAGGTTAAAGTAAATGGTTTCCGGTTCAGAGAATTTACAGATTTCCTTTAACGTAACGATAAAATCAGTAACGCCGTGATGACGTTATCACGTCAAAATTTGTAATTTCTAAAGAAAACTCCCCATTTTTCGAGACCTCTGATGGAAAAACGGTTTGTGATAATTAAAAAATTAAAATGATTTTGAAAGGACACATCGTAAGCATGTTTGTAAAAAACTGAAATCAAATTTGAAGACAGGGCCGCTCTGTTATACTTAACGTACCCAGTTCTTTCGAGAGCTTAATTACGATGTATGTACATTTACAGAATAAATGCATGAATTATCATGAAAATGAAAAAAAAAATCATGAAAAAATAGTGTTTTATTTTGATTAGCAACATTTAAACTTGTACATTTCAAATGTTAACTCTGTCATGTCTTAAGTGCTATTACTATAAATGAAAATTCTTACCTAGCATTCATTTCAACAACATTGTATCCACTGTGTTTGGCAATTACATGAGCAAGAGTTGTCTTCCCTAGGCCAGGTGGCCCATTCAGCAGAACAAGCTAAAATACAATGCACAAATAAAATTTTGAATGTATTCTATAAAAATGGTAATAAACAGTAAAAGTATCTAAATAAATGAATAGAAAGTACATGTATTTATGACAGAATACCTCACCTTTTTATATGAATTATACAACAACAATGTATGATCATGCATTTGGATTGAATGTATAATACATGTATTCCCGAGCGTAAATTCATGAAAAAAACATGAAAAACATGCTATCTGTTGTAACCTCACCATACAAAAAATTCAACTTAAGTTCATCCCCATCAATTATGATACAAAACTTTTTTGACTTTAAAAAACAAAGTCTAGAAATCTCAACCATACAAACCTTTTGCACTGGGCGGTTATGTTTATCCAACTCATCAATGACTTCTGGTAAGAATTTCTTCTTTTTCTGATCTTTTTCCTTTTCTTTCTTGGTAACCTCTTTCTTTTTCAATCTGACATCTTTTCCAAACACCACATAATCCCAAAGCTTCAACCAGTGAAGCAAAGTTCTATTTATAGACTGAAATTGAGATCACATTTATATTTCTAAGTATATTTCTACATATTTTTTGTCATTAGGGATGTGCGATTTTATCATTATACCAGTATATAGTGATTTTTTTATTGCACAATACCTATTGTGATATGGAGACTAAAATACTAGTATTTAGTATGTAATTATAAATTTGGGAAATAATTTTTTGTTCAAACTCTTGAATTACAATTACAGAAATTGAAAAAAAATGTTGTAAAGCAGTAAGACTATGACATCCTAGCATCCAGAAATGCTTATTTAATAAAAAAAATAAACATGAAAAGGTTAAGTTATGTTTTCATATTATCTGTGTTAGAAAAATCATGGAAATTCATTTAAAATCATTGCAAAAATTATGTATAAAAAATATCATGATATTATTGTGATATCTTTGGGAAAAAAAACATGTAATTATACCAAATTTTGGTGATTAACATCCCTATTTGCTGATAAATCACTAAAAGTTTTTACACTTTGACTACACACAAAGAAATACAAGTTATACTTATCAAACTTTATACAGAAAATACAGGCTGAGCCTTCTATAGCTTTGATCATCCCAACAAATCTGTGTATGTACCATCAGCAAACTTTTCCACCCACCTCATCACTGAGTAAATCTGTGTAAGTATTGGGAGCAAATTTTTCCACCCACAGAAGTTTTTCTGGTTCACTGTTTTCTGGTTCCTCTTCTTCTTCATCAATGTCACTTAGCCTCTCCGTCAAATCCCTGTAAATATTGCATTATCCTTCATACTAAACAAAATCCTTGTTTATTTCATATGAATTTCACTTTTAGGTACTTGTTTGTAAATATATATTAATCAAAGTCATTGAGAGTCCCTGGATGAGTTGCTGAATCAGTATCAATACAAATGTCGATTGCAGATTTTACAAATGTACTAAATGCCATACCTGTGAAGTTCCTGTGTCAATTTCTCTGCCTCTTGGATCAGTTTTTCTTGTCTCTGTAATGAAATTTGTGTTCAGGTGTTGGACAGGTACTTGTCAGACAGAAACCAAATTAACTTTCACATGTGTAAATTTCAGAAGAAAAAGTAGAGACTCCAAATTACCAACTCAAGTTGATGAATTATTGAAATTCAAATAATATTAATGTAAGAGTGTTGAAACTTTATTATCACTAAAAGGTGAATTTTTTAAGGTAATGAATCTGTTATTAAAGTATGCAAACATCTGCACTCCAATATATAAGACTGTCAGAATGTTACTTTAATTCCATATCCATGTGATGTCAGCATGAAAAACCTAAATATTTACATGACTTCTTTTTTCATAAACATGAAATCATAACATTACTGTTTTTACAAAAATCTTACCAGTTTCTCTGCTTGGTCACGCAATTCCTCAAATGAAATGGAGAGTAACTGTCCTTTCTTCTTCTTTTTTCCAACATCTTCAAACTAAATCCAAAAACATTCAAATATTGATAATCCATTGTAAACATTCTGAGTGAATGAAAATGTTTATTAAAAAATGCTTGAGGTAAAGATTACCAGAGTTTCTCTCACTATAGGCATACATATATTTTTTTCAGATATTTATTGCATATACTGTACCTCTTTTGATAGTGTTGTTTCTTCTTTGAGGATGATATAGCACCTTTCCCCCTCAGAACTTGTTGTACTTATAAAATCTCCATTGGGAATTCTCTTATGGACTCTAGGCCTCTCATAGTCATAATCTGAATAAAATATGTACTGTAATGTAAACTAAACAATTAATTAGAACGAGCTTGATTATTCAGTAAAGCATACTGCCAACCTCCAAAAATGATGTTGGGTCACGACCCAACATTCAGATGTCAAATGTGGGGTCAAAGCGTGTGACAACATTTTCTAAGCATGGAACATTTTCTAAGCTCCATTTAAGAAAACACATATTCAAATTTGTAATAAATTGTTTATTTCAGGCTCATATTAAAAGATATCCATGCCATTTTTAAGCACTTTGTAAGAAGGCTGGTACTCATAAAAATCAGAAGTTTTATCTTGTATGACAGACAACAAAGTGCAAATAATGTCATTTCCCAACTCAGATCTGCAATCTGTCTGAATTGTTTTAGTCATGTACGAAATCCTTTTACACTGTGACAGTGGTTCAATTAGCAGGTAGGGTGAAATTGGGGGTCATAATGATAACCCCCAGGGGGTGATTAGTGGTGGAGGGGGGGGGGATTGATATAATTTTGGGAGGAGTGTGACCTGTAAACTGGGGGTTAGTTGGCAGGCATGGTAAAGCTTTCTATAGCCATTGCCGATAACTTTTAATTTCAACTTTTAAAATAATTACCATCAATTAAATCAGGAACATGTCTCTCTCCATTCTGGTGAACATGATGTCTGCGTATTTCTGTGATTCTTTTTTCTGCTTGACTAACTGTGGAGGGAGGGAGATTTGTAGAAGTGGGGATGTTCAAATCATCAGTTCTTGCCTTTTTGGTCTGTCTTTCTGTGAAAAATATAAAACCCAGTTGTTTAGTAGTATCATAAAATCTTTATCCAAAATAAATGTTTATCAAAACCTAAGTGATTTCATTCATTGTCTTTCAGGTTGTACACATATAGTTAAACCTCGTTATCTTGAACTCGATGGGACCGAGGAAAAAATAAAAAGATATCCAAGGGTTTGAGATATTGAAGGTAAAATACTTTAAGAAAAAGTGCTTGGGACTTCCAAATCACTTTGACATATCCATGGTATTCAAGATACACCGTAGTTCAACTGTATTTTCAAATCACAGATAAACATTACTCAGTGAGGGGAAATCCTCCTCTTGACTGTCTGATCCTGATAAGTTGTCAAACTCATCCTCACTCCTCAGCCTTTTCTCCGGCCTGTATGATATCCCATTTGATAAAATGGCACCATTAATTGGTTTCTCTGGACTTTCTAATAATTCCAAGTGGCTTGTGTTTAAGTCTTTTGTTGTCTTGGCATTTGGCGTTTCAAATTTCAGACTTCTCTTTGTTTTGCATGGAGAGAAATCAGGTGCTGAAATATGTCATGAATCTCTTAAATATAAAATGTAATGTGCCCAGAAAGGTAGAAAATGAAAACACTAAAAATATGTCCATAGGGCTGCACTTACACTGGACAGTTGTGATTTTTCTAGTGGCATATTTTATATATTATAAATTAAACTCATAGTCAAATTGATGTAATTTCTTAACCCATGAACTTAACTTGAAAAAAAAAACTTAAGGAATATAAACTTGATGTGTTGAATCAGGTCTAATCAAAATGTTATTTGAAGATGAATAATCAAAAGTCGATTTTTGAAGAACAAATATTTTGAATTGCACCAGTTTAGGCCTAACAGTAACAGCCTTATGAGTTAGGGTGTAAAATCGTGTTTAAATCGTTAAGCATGTTACACACAAAAAAATACAGGGTATATTTATATACAGCACTTTTGTTAAAACATACGTTCAAAATCTTCCAGAGCGTCTAATTCATCTGCATATTGCGATTCAAAATCATCTTCGTCCATTTCAACTTCACCGTTCACGTCTCCCGCGTTTTGTTTACGCACAAAATTGTTATTGTAATCCCGAGCCCGATAAGTTTGGGAGACGATAAAGGCGGATCCATGAATGTTTCCTTGGAAAATATTCAAAATCCGAAGAATTTGTTTTTCTTTGACAAGCATTAGAAAAAGTAAGGAAAACTTAAAGGGGTGGGGGCTCAAAGACAAGTAACATTTTTGCTGCTTCCTTAAATAAATTGATTTACTCATAAAAATATTGTACCCCCTACTCAGCTGGATCCGCTATTGGAAGTCCTCCGTATTTCACTCCACAATGATATAAAATTATTCTTAATATTTCATAGCATATTTCCTTATAAAAAGGTTCATGGTAGAACACATAGAGTACTAGTATACTAGCAAAACCATTCTTCAACATCTCATACAGTTTATGTACCTATTTCATCTGATCACTAGATAAATACATATATATCTCTGTAAATTCCCTTTTTCGATAGCTGCATTATATTAAAGATATAATAAGGGCCTATTAATGATATAATAAAGGCCTATTAATGATTTAATAAAAACTTTAATTTTATTTTCATTTGAAAAAATAAACAATCTATTAACAATGGCTTTTTAACTATATATTCAAGTTTGACAATGATGCTCCCTTACTCGCACGGATATATAGGACGCAGGACATGTATATATAAAAGTAGTTTTGTTCAATTAATATCGAATAGTCCTATATAGTCCTATATCGCAGGCACTTGTTTCTGTAATAAATTTATACCCCTTGTAGTATAATAGTGTTAAATTATTATACGGTAGGTTAAAAAATTATTAAGCGCCAGAGCCGCTAAAATATGAAGCCCGCTTTTTTAAGCACACATACATAGTTTCGTTGAGAAAATGTAAAAATGTCTACTCGGTAGACCTCGTTTTTACCCTACAAAATCTCTAGAATCCAGGAGCTTCCGAGGGTTCGCCCCCTGGGCCCCCTACAGGGCTTCGCCCTGGACCCAATGGGGGCCTCAAGGCGACCTCAGACCTCCTGCCTACTTCTTGCGCCCCCCCCCCTTACTTCCATTCCTGGATCCGCGCCTGTATATATATACTAGTATTCTTTTAAATGAATATATGAAAGCAAAAATGAATAAATATCCTCCCTTTTTCCACAGAAAATTGTGCCTCCCGTCCTGGGGTAGAGGAATCTCAGTGGATCTCGTACCCCTTATGCTGTTTATGATCGTTTGTACTGTACATAAGAGGATGTTACAGTTTATCATCTCGATATAAAATTTTGTGGCGCAGATGTTTTAAGAAGTTGCCCTCGTTAAACTTACTCTTGTGAGTAAAAGTTGAGAAAGGAGAATGGAAAATAAGTGCTTCTAAGTTACTGGGTCAATTGTACAGAAAATTGAATGACGTAAAAAAAAGTGGTCTGATCCATTACCGATATAGGATGTATAATCCTATTGTATGTTCCTATACATATAACGTCAATAAAAGTGAGTAACCTAAATACATGTTTTGGGGATCTTGAAAAATGTACTTTAAGCATACATTAGAGAGACTAGTGTACATCCGTTCAATTCTTGAATTCTAGTTTCGTGATATGCAGATCTTATAATACTTAGAAACTGCTGCTTCGTGTGTTAACATTTAAACATTCTCAGTTTCTCTTGAACCGCTGAACCAATTCCAACCAATTTTGGCATACAGCATACATGAATAAGGGAGAACAAAAATTGTGAATTTCATGATCCCAGCTCCCCTGGGACCTGATGGGTGGGGCTAAAACCATCAATATTGGTGCTATCTTCAAAAATCTTCTTCTTTATTCTTGGACATTAAGCAGTTGAACTGTTGTCATCATTGTAATAAGCATTGGACCCTCTACAAAAATGAAATTCATGACGCCAGGTCAGGTTTTCTAGAGTTATGGTGGGGCTCTTAAATCATATAGTGAAAATGCATTAATTCTTTTCAAAAATTCCCTCTCCAGCTGTATATTTCGCAGATGAGCTACATGCTCGGTAATGATGAGCAAGGGTGCTTCTTCCAAAATTGTGAAATTTGTGGCCCAGGGTCAGGGGTTCTAGTGGGGGGTGGGGGTGGGGGCTGTATTTGATGATTCAGTGAAATTGCATGAATTCTTTGGAGATCTTCTTCTCTTCAGCGAACAAATGTAATGCATAGTTATGATAGCAAGGATGCCTCTTCCAAAATTGTGAATCTCATGGCCCGTTTTAGTGTTAGGGTTGGTCTCTATTTATTATAAAGTGAAAATGCATAAATTCTTTAAAAATCTTCTTCTCTCCCCTTATCTATTTAGCAGATAAACTGCAAGCAAAGTTATGATGAGCAAGGGTGCCTTTGTCAAAATTGTGAAATTTGTGGACCCAGGGTTAGGAGTTCTGGAGGTTGGGGAGGGGCTGTATTTGGTTCTATAGATTCTAAAATGCATTAATTCTTTGAAAATCTTCTTCCCTGCTTCTGGATATTTAGCAAACAAACGCAGTGTACATTTATGATGAACAAGGGTGCCTCATCCAGAATTGAGAATCTCATGGCACCTGGGTCGGGGGGTTTAGTGTTAGGACTGAGCTTTATTGATTACATGTATATAGTGAAATGCATATTTTTTTTAATACTAGTATCACCTCTCTGCTCCTGGGCATTTAGCAGATAAACTAATTGCATGGTTATGATGAGCAAGGGTACCTCTTCCAAAAGTGTTAATTTCATGTCCCCATGGTCAGGTGTCCTGGTGTTAGGATGGGGCTCTTTTGATTATATAGTGAAAATGCATAAATTGTTTGAATTTATCCAGGGAAGATGAGAACACAGGCATTTAGAGTCAATAAAGTCTTCTTATGAAATATTGGAGAAAATAATGTATTTGTTGGACCCTCTCTCTCTCTCTTGTAGATGTTATAAGATCTCATTTTCTTACATCAGAAAGTGCTTGTTGATAAAGAGAGTTTAGACACATGACGGAATATAATTAAACATACATTTATGTATTTCGTGGCAAATAACAAAAAGAGGCAAAATTTAGGGATGCGCCCCCGCCCCCACCATGGGTCCGAATATAGACATGAATTAAGAAGTTCAGGGACGGGTTGTCTCCTTGATACTACTAGTATTGTGATTTGCAACAAAGGGTTTTAAATTAAAAAATACTGTAGTTCTGTTAGTTTTCAGAAATTATACAAAGATGTGACGTCATATCATATCGGAGATGACATATGCTGGTTTCCTATCTTGGATGTTCTTGGATTGTTAACACTAAGGGTCCGCCATACAGCATCACATCAGTAGATGCTTGACCTCCCCTACAGTAACAAACTGCATCAGACTGGAATGAAGTGGTTATTTCCATTCAACATTGTGTAAAAATTATCTTTAAAGCTACTCTAAATACGTAATGTCTAGGTCAAAGTCCTTTATAGTTTTTAATATCAATGTGATTGATGTTTTGGCTGGATTGAATAACATATACAAACAAAATTTCAACAAAATCAAGAGTAATTGAGAATACACAAATAAACTCGATCCTTTCACTGATTTTTGCGAGATCTATTATGCTCATACTGTCTTTACACCTCAGTACTAAATGTCTTAAAAACATACATGTATGCATGTCCACTTCTCTAAAGAGAAAGGCATAGCTGCAGCTGGCCCTTACATGTATATTTTGATATATACCATGGTCACCACAATGCGAATGATCCGTGTCACTATAAAGACAGGAAATTAGGTTAATTTATAATCTCACTCTCAAACTTAAACTTAATTTCATTTATTTTTATTTACCCGGTATTTTGTCCTTGTTTAACTTTTTTCTTATTTTACTTTTAAATTTTATTTTTTTATTACTGTGCATCAAACGACCTTCACTTAGTATTTACCAATTAAGTCAGTTGCTCTGGCCTTGAATTCTGCACGAAAGGACATGCATAGACTATTTTTGGAAAATGTACTGACTGAAAAAAAAATACCAAAAGTTACTTGAATTACTCCCAATTTTCAACCATTGCAAAATGTTGAATTTCCTATACAGCTTAACATTGATTGATGGAAACGAACCATTCATTTAAGAAAGTTGGTTTCAAAGTAATAAAGCGCCAAAGTACAGGGACACCATATCACTATTTTATTTCCAACCCTCACTTTAGCATTCTGAATGAATAACAACTTCGTTCATTAGAGAACGGTGTTTTGTCACAGTACTGGCACTTTAGATATGAAATAAGTAAATAAGTAGCATAAATTTAAAATTTAATTACTACTATACTGAGCTCCACCCCAACCCCCACCCCTTCCCAACACATGCTTACGATCATGCATAGCTTCTGGATATAAATTCCACACTAATAGGGTCTTTATTCAACACGATTGTTTGGTTAATTTAAAATGTGTCTGGGATTCAAATCATCAAATCTTGCCCTCGTTTTTTTTCTTTTAATTCATAAATGATGATAAATATACTTAAGAAAAATTATCAATAAACTCTATCATATGTAAGAAATATTTGATTTTCTTTTGGGTTTGACAGTTTCTGGTCTCCATAAATGACTACCTAATTAACAGGTACTTTAACAAATCACCAGATCCAATCTTGCCCCTCCCCCTTCCGGGTCATGCGATGCTACCTCGCACTATAAACGAGCGGCACATAGCCGATTCTTCATCACAGGAAATCCAGAAAGCCATCAGAGCACCATAACCAGGGACCAGTGAGGGTTGGAGCGTCATGTCTAGAGCCACATTCTTCCTAATGGCTGTACTTGCGATTGCGGTGACCAATGCGAGGAACATTCAAGGTATGAGATCATTTTAATTTTATTTTAAAAGATGTTTTTAAACTAACATTAATCCAAGACATATATCTCCTTTTTTTCATTTCAATGTTGAATTTGTTTGTTTTCGCTGGGTAGAATTTTTTTTCACACTTTGAATGTTTTGACCAGGTTTCTCCCTAGCAGTGCTAATCTAATTTATGTACATTTGTTTGTAAACAAAAAAAATGAGTATTAGCGATATTAAATAGCTACGAAATTATACTGTTATAATATTTTCTCTGAATTTCATTTATTATTAAGAATCTCTAAAACACAATGACCATGCTACACTATATAGTTTTAATTTTCTACTAGAGCAGTTTTTTTTTTTCATTTTCCAGAAGAAAATACTTGTGATGTGGATGAGTTCATGTGCATGAGTGACGGTGATATCACGTGCCTCCCCAACACATGGAAGTGTGACGGAGATTCCGATTGCGACGGAGATGTTGATGAACAAGGCTGTCGTAAGTATTGCTTTAAACAAACACACGTACTTTTTGGGCTAGCCTATCGAAAGTATTGCTGATCGGTTATATTAAGGTGGGCTATCGTAAGTACTAGTATTGCTGGTCGAATACACTTTGAGTTGGCTGTCATAAGTATTGCTAGTCGAACACACTTTTAAGTGCACTGCCGTTAATATTACTAAACAAACTAAAATGAGTTTGGTAGATTGATCGAATATAAGACTTTATTGATTGAACTAAGTTCTGATCACTACAAATGAAGTAGGTGGACTGTCGCAATGAGTACTGAAATACATGTATTGCCGATAGAGCCCGATGACCGTTTAGCTCGCCTGCTGTTGATATTTATTACGCATTTCATTTTTTCAGCTCCTCCAACTTGCCCTGAAAATGAATTTCAATGTGACGATTCGTGTATTCCTCAACTCTTTGTGTGTGATGGTGACGTAGATTGTGACGATAAAACAGACGAAGCATCTTGTCCTGCACAGAATCCACTCATTAATCACGTATGTTTTAATTTTAATGAGTATATGTAATTGTGTGCAGTTAATTCTCTCTCTGTGTCATGAAAAATAACAATTATAAATAGACATAAGCACTCATTGTGATTATACTTTTTCTCTCTTGAAATTTTATGATTGATTGCTTATGTTACAGGTCTAGGACCAAAGCAAGATGTGACATTGCCATGTGCCATAGGCTTTAGAATGATGACTCCGCCCTTATGTTCCAGTGTTTCTTTTTTTTCTTGTTTTTTTTTTTTTTTTTTTACATCGTCTTCCTCTTTACCTCTTAATTCTATCAATTTTATTTATGATGACTACTAAAAAATCATTTTCAAGTTGTTTTTGTTTATATTTTTTTCTTAAATGAGATGATTTATTTTGATTTTATTAAAATAAATTTTACAAACACTAATGTTGGTTCTCGTTTATGAATCACCTGTAAAGTATATGTATTATTGGTATATGCGGAACGATTAACAGGCGTGGTCAAGGTGAACTTTTCATTTTGAAATACTATTCCAGAATTCAGGGGTATAGCAGCAGGTGCAAACTACTATGGTTACTATAATCTAAAACTCTCTTTTAATATTTTAAAATATCACTAATTCATTAAATGTGTGCAGCAATTCAACTAAAGATCTCTTCCAATATCTTCAGCTCAATTGATGGTATCATTAATTAGTTTGCTGAATTGATTAAAAAATGCCTCCTTCAAATAACTTGATGATATCAATTGAATTGATGCGAGCAATATTTCAGTTTGATTGAAGAGAGCAACAATTCATGAGCACAATTATTGAATTTTAATCGTTCCCTTCAATTAAATAATTCTGCTCATCAACTCAACTGATGTGTAATAACTGATTTCTTGCTCTCTTCAGTTGATTTAATGCTATTATTAATGATGCTTGAATTAAAAGCATTAGAACATCAATTAATTGCTCTGACAATTTCGTTGTAAAATAATTCAAAATATATCGAATTGAAATTTATCAATAAATCAATTATATCGAGGTCTGAACTATTTTTTGGGAGCAAGATTGCCATGTGCACATCTGGGAGGGGTGGGGGTGTCGGGGTTCCAGGTTTCACATTTTCAAGTTTCTTTATTTGCCAACTGGCTCATGAGAGTAATAAATGGATGTTATTGAGAAAAAAATCATACAGAGAGAGAGAGAGAGAGAGTGAACGTAAAAATACATGCATGAAAATAGTGTTATACATCAATATTGTTTTCTCTTAACGATGTGGCAGTGGACTCCAATTCCCAGTTTTTGTGGAGTTGTGGAGTTATTAAATGTACACAGCGAAGTAACTAAAAATACCCCCCCCCCCCTGAAAACGTTAAGTTGGTAAGTTGGTAATAGGAAGAGTCATTCATGAATATGAATCTTTAAAAAGTGAAGGTAAAGGAAACCCCCCGCCCCCTCTGTTTGTTTGTTTTGTTTCTTTGTTTGTTTGTTTTTTTTGTTTATTATTTATTTATTTATGCTAACAAATTTCTATGTTTACTTTTACTGGGGGTGGGGGGGGGGGTGGGGGTGGGGGGTGGGGGTGAACCCCTCCTGAAAAAATCCTGGATCCGCACCTGATTTCTATCATCAATTGAATAGTGCGCGAATCAAATGAGTTAATAAATTTATGAGTCTATAAATGGTAATCCAAAAGTTGCTCCGCCTGAATTAAAAACAATGGCTTGTGACTTGCTAAGCGAGGTGCCTTCGAGTAGTGTAACGATATGCGGGTACATTGACGTGAAAACTATTTTTTTTTTTCATCTACGAAGAAGAAGTCATAAAAGAGAACTGTCAAACATTATGCATAAAAAAAATCTGAATATTTTGATATATTAAATGAATATAGAGAAAATGGGAACTCTATCAAGCCTTCCGTTATTTATTTGTCTATAAAGAGCAAGCGTTTTCATTTATTATTTGTAATTAAAGTTGTTTTTGCCGCTGAAACATTCAATAAGAGCGTGGTAAAATGATATCTATATTTCTACTATCTACTAACAGAGAACTTTTAGTATCAGAGAGTATGAATTTTTATAAAAGATTAGTTTTAGGTTACATTTTTGATTTTTCAATTGTAATACTTTGTGAATGTGTCATAGAAGAATATTTTATATTAAAAAAGTCGGAGAACCCTTGGGATACGGAATTCGGGGAGGGGGGGGGGGTCCCGTCCCAAAGCAGCTGTGCACAAAATTAACACATTCAATAATAAGCGAAATATTGACTAATTAATGAGAAAGGAAGTTGTTTGTAATTATTATATATACAAAGTTACAAAGAATGGGGTCGTACAAGGCGAGGACAATCCACCTCTCTGAAGAAAGACTTTCTCAGTTCTTAAGGTTCATGAAAAGTTACATTTTTCAAAAGTTGTATTGTCAATGTCATCTTTTTCAAATTTGCTTCCTTTATTTTATTGGATAGTTAATTGATAAATAATTTATTTTTCACATGTTTTAACGTCAAAAGGAAAAAAAAAACACGATTCGCACTCTCTCCAAAGCTCATTATCAGGCGTAAAACTGAACGTGTTAACCATTAGTCCACAGAATCTTGTTGTCAATGTTGTGTTTCAATGTGATCTAAATAAACGAGTTTGTTGAAACTTTTTTTTTCCCAGAAATATTAAATTTTCATATAGAATGGGTTCAGATGCCTTTTTTGGAATCATAAGATAGAATTTACATATACTTTTCCGAGAAAATTATTGTTTCAGAGCGGGGGATTGTCCTTACCTTGTACGCCCTCTTTCTTTACTTGGTCCAAAATAATGATGTGAAGTTCAATCACCTTATAATAGGAGTTATAAATACGATGTTTTTTTGTTTTTGTTTTTTTTAACTGGATTTTTATCATGAAATATGGAGATAACGAACAGTATTCAAGCTGAAAGTCCATTAAAACAATACAGATCGGGAGCAGAGCAAACACGGACCTCCAGAAACAGAGGTTGGATCAGGTACCATGGAGGAGTGAGCATCCCCAGCCGATCGGTCACACCTGCCGTGTGCTCCTTGTCATGATCGGTAAATAACGAAAAAATCCGTCGACAATATTCAGTGTGTAAATAATGGCCTAACAATTAATATAAATAACGTCAGTCAGCATATGACTTAATGATAGATTGTATTTGCTTACAAGGTCATTGTATCGACCATAGAACTTACGAAATGATGACTTTAAACGAGACTGTTGATATTCTTGTTCCATCAACTTATTTGTCAATAATTAACCTCGTTTTGGAAATTGTTCATACGTAGAGCATATTCTTGCGTATCGAATCAACTGAGAGATATACACCCCATATGCAGGTGATAAGGGTATATTGCTGCATAAATAAGGGAAGTTGACGATTGAAGAGTTAAAGTCATCACGTTTATCATAAAACTTTGTTGTAAGGTTACTATTAACGTCTTTTTCTAGTAAAATATCCAAATATGAAACAGATGTGTCAGACTCTTTGGTATCTTTTATTTCAAGCTCAATGGGATATATCCTGTCAACATATGAATGGAAATAACTTTTATTGTTAATTGATAATACGTCCTCGATATATCTAAATGTCGAGTTGAAGGCCACAGCAAGTGATTTCTTTTTCTCGTGTATAAGATTTTGAATAAATTCTGCTTCATATGAATAAAAAAATAGGTCTGCTAACAACGGGGCGCAATTTGTGCCCATGGGAATTCCAACAGATTGTTGGAAGATCTGGTCTCCAAAAACCACATAGATATTGTCATTCAGAAACTCAGGTATTTTTAATATCAACTTCAAAGTACTTGTGTGTATAATCAGAATGTTTTTTAACACAACAATTTTGCAGATGACCAATGACAAGGTACATTGTAAGTAAATTTACGAGTTCAATTTTTATTGAAAAAGCAGCTGTGAATGATGTCAAAAAGCCTGGACTTTAATTTTTCGTGGGAAAAATTGTCGTGTGTAAAATTATCATGTAAAAAATTGTTTATGAAAATCCTAACAGCCCAGGGACGTAAAACGGAGAATTAATTAATTGTGGCCTTAACAAACTGGAATGTTTATCAACATTTGTTTAAAACAAAAAAAAAAAACAAAAAAAAAAAAAAAAAAAAAAACATATTGGAGTTGAAATGCTATAAATGGATTGACCCTGACCAAAGTCTTTAAAAAATCATTTTCATTGTTCTCTATCTGACTTCGATTTGAATCCGGAAAAATTAAATTCCCTTTAGGTTTTCGTCTATATAATCTTACTAGAATGCCGAACCCGAAAAATGTATTTTCATCTCACTTTTTCAGAGCATTGATTCTGATTGAATGATTGCATGCACAGCCATTAAACCATACACAGAAACAATGTAACTATGTCATCAAAACGTCCATTAAAAGGCAAGTATTTTTTAAATTCAATTTGAATTCAGTTGGTTTCAGTAGCCGAAAAATAAATAATACAAGTTACCACAGTTTTCCAAAAACGAGGAAATTCGAGCTCAGTACTGGTCAATCTTAGTTTTAACAAGCTTATCTTCTAAAAAGATAGGTGAGCTAGCGCTGTAGCTATCATATACCACAGAATTAGATATCTAAATTATTGGATTAATTTGCTGAATCGACTGAGGGGACGACCATTTGATTCTGAGGAGGGGGGTCAGGTCGGGGGTCTGGCAAAATATTTCGAGTCAGATTATTTATTTTCATGCCAGTCAAGGACAGATTATTTATTTTCAAGATGATCAAGGTCAGATTATTTATTTTCTTCTTCACTGAAAAACAAACAAACAAACAAACAAAAAACAAAAAAAAAAGTTCAAACGGGGAGGGGGGGGATAAGTAGCAATAGTCAAGGACAGATTATTTATTTTCTTGCCGGTCGTGGAAAGACAGTTATTTATTTTCAACTATTTTTGAGGACAGATTATTTATTTCCAAAATCTGCCCCCCACCCCTTCATAATCAAATGGTCGTCCCTAATTATTAAAGGGAAGACACAGTGGTACACTGGAGGTGGTGTTGGGGGGATGTGTCTTAAGGAAGTTCGGTCCTGAGCTTTTGAGCAGATTTTGGTCTGGACCTTTATTTTTAAAATTCTGCATCATTTTTAAGTTCAAACATTAAATCTGGATTCTAAAATGCAAATTAAACTAGGAAAAATGAAAAATTAAAGAATTATAATATATCAGTGCTAATGCATTGAATCAATCGCTTCACGTGTCTGTCTGACATACTCTGAAAGATTTCCTGGATTTTTTTTTCTGAGCTTGCCGGAATTATCATGTACATGGTTAGCTGTAAGGAAAGCTAGGTTTTACCAGTTGATCTCTACAATCTTGGCATTATATGACCCAAATTTTTCTTGTGCTTTTAATCTTAGGTTAGACAATAAATTTAGAAATTCAGATTTCGGATCATGTCT